GACTGAGGAATTCTACACAGATGCAAAATAAAAGAGCATCATTAAATATACAGCAGGATAAGCTGCAGCAGCAGCACAGCATCTGGCTCCTGCTTGTACGTGTTCATTTTTATTCTCAATACTGGCTTTATCTACCTTTTAATGCCCTCCTTATTTGGACATTTCTGTTCTCGCATTTCCCTGCTGGTCCTCTCCTTTAATAGTATTCTCTTCTGGATTGAGTAGCGATTGAATAAGAGAAATATTTTGCCCATGCGTTGCAGACAGGCATTTTACTTATTCAGCATGAAGACTACTGGAAATGAAGTGCTTTAAAAAAAAAGCTTGTTGCTGTTAACAATGGTGAATGGAGAGAAATTTCGAGTGTACACACCTCATTCAGGCCCTGAAAGCCTTGTGCTGTGCAAAAAAAAAGAAAAGAAAAGAAAAGCAACACATTCAGTTCAGTTGTATTGGATAGAACAAAAAAAAAAAAAAAAGAAAACATTAAGAGCGAAGAGAATGAAATATGAGAGAAATGCGTTTTCAAGATTAACATAACCTTCATATCAATCTAATCACAAGGTAATAACAGTGTCAGTTATTTGCTCTTGGTCGAGGAAAGAATAATGTGTGTGAGTGTATTTGTATCTTTCTGGTAGTTTGAGGTTGTCTGGAAAAAAAAAAGCTTAAGCTGAGAGGAAGGTCAGTTAACATTTGTTAATTACCACCAAAGCAGCAGATACAAAACAGTCATTTTAGTCATTTAATGAATCTTGAACACAGCTGCGGGACCTAGATGACATATCCTTTTCAGTACAGAGTCAGCACCTTCTCCCCTCCCTGAAAAAGCCATCAAAGGCTTCATCTTTAGTTTTGTATTTGTTGCATTGCCCTTCTCAACCTTGAAATATTCTTAAGGCTCAGGCTTGGTGTGTCTTTTTGTCTGTTTGAGGATAGGATCCAGCCTCACTTGCCCTTTTGAGACGATACAGCTTTCACCCCAGATCATCTTCATGAATGGGGCAAGTCTACAACAAATGTCCAGGAAAAAAAATAAAAACTGTCAAATCTTCCATTCAATGGCTACAAAATACTGTGAATTTGAACCGGACCATTCACTGTAGCTCTGTCTCCTTAATCCTTCAATTTTCTTTCCCATCACACTCCAGTTTTTCCTCGACTGTCCTTGGAAGAGAGGCTCACACAATATCCAGCCTTCCTCTGAAGTCATTCCTTCTGAGAACGAGACAGTGCTCAGAAGCCCCCCCCCACCCCACCACCCATAAATCACAGATGTAAAGGGAGGTGAACAACACCCCCGCTTCCCACCAAAACATGACACAAATTACACACCACAACATCTGGTGAGTGGTGTGCACCAAAACACAGCAGGGTGGGCTGAGGATATATAGTCTAGCTTCACTCAAACTCATCCTCCTTGTTCACAGAAGTACTTGGAAGCAGAGGCGTGACAAAGGGTAAGGTTGTAGTGGTCGTCAGCTGATAAAGACAATCCTGGCTGACTGAAATTGAGCTTTCTCTAGTTGTAAGGGAACCAAAAAACCTAAACGAAAAAACAATTGCATGTTAACTCTAGATGAGCTAAATCTAAAAGAGAGACAGAGGGTTTACATCCACCTTCTACTGGCATATGGTAGTGCCCTGAAGCTGTTGCAGGATGTGCCCGCTGTTACGAGACTATTTTTAGACCAAACTTATTGAAATACGCCAATTCTGGCATGCTCACACTCAAAGGTTACTCAAGCATGTAACACAGAACACCTGAAAGCAAACAAGTTAACATGCAAACTCGCCACTAATCACCTCTGTTACGATCATGCCGCTTACACTTTGATTGACTTGAAGTAAATGTTTAGGTCATGTTAAAAGGTACAAACACCCTGTTTCCACAGGTAGCCTGCTCTAAAGATAATGGGTTAATCCTGGAAGGCTATTGATGTAGAGCTTTTCTCCTTATCAAAGTAACCCCAGGGATTGTCTGACCAATTTGTTCGGATGAGAGCGTATTGACCAACCGATCGACATGACAACTCAAAGATTTCAGACCTTGAAAAATGAGAGGGGAAACAATCAGACCGCTGCAGCTCCACACTAAGTACATCATCTTTGAGAGATATGACGACCGCACGCAAGCACGGTTTGGCAAAACCCGTCTTTTCATTAGCATGTGCAAGGACCTCACATGTGAGATTGCTGTAAAAGAATTACTCAGCAAGCAAGCTGGTGAGCAGGAAAGCAAACCAAAACACAATAAGTAAAAGAGGCACTAGTGGCGCCTAGAACTGCAGGGTAACAAAGAGTCCTGTCTCTTGCTCTGTGGTGATATAATTCCTTCTCTGAAGCCAGGAGCAGTTAGTTTTATCATTAAAATTTCAAAAGCCTCTAAGTGTTACAACATACCTCTGTGATGTAGTGGGGTAATTAACACACAGACAGATGTGCCTGAAGCAGGTTATCAACCACTTGTCAACATCGGTGCCAATACTGAGAATCAATGTCACGTGTCAATTTCCATCAAGGCCTTTAGGGGACACTGATAAAGGGAGGCCAGTAATGATCAGGTTAAAGTCTGCGTGTGCCTGCGTGTATGAATAGTTGATGAAGATTTAAAAGCATGCAACTATGTGACAAGTTTTGCCAGATATTATATTTTATTCATATGAATCTAAAATGTAGCAAAAATTTCATTATAGGTCTATAATAGAAACCTCTGAGTATAATTGTCTCTTGTACTGAAATTTTGAGGACCTTTACAAAACTTAGCATCCTATAGTCAAAGTACAGTGAAGACTCAAACGGTTTCTTGCAGACACAGAAAACATTAAAATAAAAAAAAAGTGAAAAAAAAGTACTCTGGGGGTGACATCATGTAAAACAATGAGTCATTAAAACAACAGTGACTGAATCAGCTAATTGGACAAGTGGTTCTAACAGTGGAGGAGGCACTGTGCCAGGCGACAAGTCACAACCCACAGAGAAACAACAGGAGGGGACAATAATGACAGAGGCTGCACATAAAAGTGCCAAAATCTGTCATTCCAACAACCCAGCCAATTTACAGGGCGATGCCCACTCAGTTAGGAGACTTACTCTAGCCTGAAACTGGGAAGAGATAAGGGAAACTTCAGAGATTTTTTTATTTTTGTCATCAAAATGAAGGGAGAGGGGGGGGTAACAGAATTCTCCAGTCATGATGACATTTGCACTACTACTAATGTGGGCATGAATCTGCACAGTTGTCTCCATGGGGATTAAGAGATTCTCGTGAAATCACTGCAATACAGCTGCACAGAGCACCTCGTAGCCAGTTTAGTGACTCCTCGTTCCAGCCTAACTTTGCTCGTATAACGGCATTTAAAGTATGGAAGACTAAAGCCGAGCACCTCTGGGTAAATAAGAACGAAGACAGGTTTAAATCTAAAAGAAGTGAATACTTGAGCACAGGGGCAGCAGTACCTTTATTGTAGCTGGATAGATTAGCTGACAACGATTTATCATTCTAGACAACCCTTCTCGTTATTTGCCGTGAAATTAAAGACTTTTTTTTTTTTGCTTGAAAAAAAAAAATAATGCTTTGACGGGATTTCTCTAACAGCTACAAACAGCAGCGAGTTGTCTCTACGTGGACCCAAGTCGCCTTCCTCGCCCCCCTTCACAGCCCAACTCAATGCTCAGTAGTTTAAGTTTGCTTTCCAAAAAACCCCCAAAAAACTTACCGTTTCCCCGGCGAGGAAAACAACCAGCCCGAGGGTCAAAATTATCCAAACGTTCCTCATAATTCCTCTTTGAGAGTTAAAAACGCGTTGTGGCAAACGAAATGTCAAATGTTTCCCCACTCTTCTTCTTCTTTCTCCCTCTCGTTTTCCTTGCACCCAACTCCTGCCGCTTCTCTCTCTCTCTCTCTCTCTCTCTCTCTCTCAGGAGTGGGATCCCACCGGATACGTGTTGCGTTTTGATTATTCCTCCTCCCCTCACCCCGGGCACTTCTTTTTTTTTCTTTCTCTCTTTTTTCTGCTGTGTAAAATCTGACTAAATGTATGTAACCGTACAAATGCGCACGGTTTAACAGCGAGGTCCTCCGCGCTCCGGTGTGTGTCAATGGAATCTGCACGAGACACCTCGCTCGCTCTCGCTCTCCCTCCGCGCGAGCGCTCGCTCAAAATAAGAAAGGGGCAAAGTGTAGAAGCGCGAGCACGTCGCTACCGGCGCTCCGGTGAGTGCGTGCGCTCCTTTCGACCGAGTCACCGCGAGACGCAGAGAGAACTTGCGAGCGAGCGACCAAAAACAAGGCAGTAACGACACTCACAACAAATCGCTCGTGTAGTTTTATTGGTGTACAGTAAGTCTTTATTTTAATTAGTTTACTATTGTCTATTATTTCAACCCGGGAGGTCGGATAACAATTCTGCACGAGGATAAAAAGGCTCGGCTAAATGAGCCATTTATCTCCTTGTCTGCGTAACAATCCTTAATTGCACCGTAATGAGGATTACACAGTTTAATTCAGCAACTGCGCCAATTTACAATCAAGCCTCGAGTTTGTCGTGCAGCATTTCTACCAACGCGTTTGATTAGCTTCTGCAGCTGTATTTTTGTATCAGTAAACAGGCTTTATGTGAATAAAGCGCAAAGCACCCCGTTAGAAACACGCTCACAATATGGGTGGAAATAATGCTATGGGCAAAGTCTCCCCCTGTTGGTATAAGTTGACAACTTTCTCTAGAGGCTTAAATCTCCAATTCTGCAGTTTGTGATGAAAACCAAGGCTGAACATTTAACTTCTGATTCAGAAAAACTACGTTTGCTTTCACCTTCTGTGTACCTTTTTTTCTTCTTTGTTCGCAGATTTATTATGTATGTCGAGTGGTTGCTGGTTGTGGTAAGTCTTTAAGTGTTAGGTAGTTCTTGGTAGAGTATTGCACCATCACTGGTTGTGTTATTTCTAGTGAATTCTTCATATTTGCAAATCATCAGCTCAAGCCTCTGAGGCCACACACACACATTCTGACATCTTCAGATTCACAAGACTAAGTGCGTTTTCCTCCCTCATCTAATCTTATTAAAACAAAATAAAATACTGAAATAAAATGCCATTTGAGGCACAAAGCACGGGCACAAAACTAAATTCCAAGGAAACCTTTCTTTGAAAGATTCCCTGAGCGTTATTGAAAGGCTATTAGACAAATGTGGTATGTTTTAATTACATTTCAATCAGTGGCAGACACTTTTGTACAAAGGGTGGTAAAAATCAGAGCCGGAGCGTATCAAAAAGAAGCCTTTGAGATGGAGAGCTTCAACACGCTGTTCCACTTTCCACCTGACACAAGTGGCACTCCGCTTGTTGGTGAATGAAAGAAAGTTGCAAGCAATCACCCCTTCTTTTTTTGAGGGGTTGGGAGAAGTTGCTGAAGGAAAATCAAGGTAGAAAGAAGATGGTTTTGTACTTTTGCAGTAACATAAGCACCGTTTCCTCCAAATTGCTCACTAACATAAATAATTCACCAGAATATTTTGTGGAAGGAAGTGTCATTTAAAACAAAACTATTTCCAGCTGTTTGCATGGAATTAAAATTAATTTCACTACCCTGTGCTGAGTTGAGAGTGTACAGTCAGTAGATTAATTATTCTTTTTTTCCTTGTGTTTTGGAAAATTGGCTTTAGGTTTCAGGGGCACAATTAAATTCTAGGAATGGTCATGTGATGGTTTACATGAACTAAATTAGGCTTTATTATGCTTTTCTAAAGAGAAAAGCATCATGAAGCATACTGGGATTTAATTCTTTATATCAGAAATGTTAATGAAAAACCTTTACTTGTTTTATCTCCAAATAGTTTGACTGTCATTAAACAGCAAATTTTACACACAAAGTAAGTAAAAATATTCCTCAGATTACATTTTGATGAACAGCCTTTTTAGTTTAACTTAAGTTGTTGTCAGTACTCCCGAGCCAGTTTAACACCTCTGATTATTAATCCAGGCCAGTGAGCAAGAAGCATTAACAGACAAGACAGGTTTCACCCTGTCAAGTATCTGTCAGTTTGCCTGTTATTAGCCACACCGATCTAGAGGAGGAGGAAGGCAAAAGGAACAAGGGAGGAGACAGAGAGGGAAAGTGATATTAATCATCAGGGGGGAAAGACGGTAGCCAAAGAAGAACAAGAGTAGCATGTGACCTTTACAGTTTTCCCTGTGCCTGTCTTCAGATCATTCATCCTCTGTGACCTGAATAAAAACAAGCAAGAAAACTGAATTGTGTCAAAGGCACTTGGGCAGAAATCAAATACACTTCAAAATTTTTGAAATTAAAACGATATCCTGCGACCCATCCCCCGCCCTAATGCTTCCCAGGCTCTCTTTCCTATCCTCACAGGGCTTAAGTCTACTCCTGGTGTCCCAGATTACACAGCCAATTAGGGCAAAGGCAAAGCCCCTTCTGCTTCCAAGCCTGGCTAGGGTAGTGTGTGAGTGTGTGTGTGTGTGGCACTAGTTCACATGATTGTGAGTCTTGTTTCCAACAGCACAAGGACCCATAAATGACAAAGTCAACCGAAGGAAAGCCTTCAAAGACCTAAAATAAATAAAAAAAATCTTGGTGTGGAGCATGCATAATTTTACATATCGCCCAGTTTGAATTATGAACACGCTGAGGTCGACTTGCTTTATTTTTCTATGTGAACTGAATATATTTCATATTCTATAGAAAGGAGACCTTCAAAAGTGTTATGGATTTCATTATATTTTATTCAACAGCACCACCAGCTGGAAGCACTAAACAGATTTATATTCAGAGGCATATCCCAACAAATAGCATGTATGATAACAGTCCAGGAATATGATTTTTGAAAATGAGCCACACATGAAAGACTGAAATCTCAGCTTCTACTTCATTCTTTGCCTTTTCTTTACCTGTGTGATGTGCAAATAGATGTTAGGCCACTGAGAGTACACACATTCACATGCAAGTCATTCAATATGCAACGTTTTCAGTGTGCAGTTTTTAATCTTTATGTGGATGGCGCTTCCATGTCTGAAAAGGCCACCACTTGTGTTCTACGAAGGACAACTCGGTACCTTGAGCACAGATTCCAGAATGATCTGCACTGTTATTAACATCACTGTCTACTTCCTTGTCCTTATCCTCATGAAAGGTTTCTGTTGTCCATAGGGTATCAGCGTACTGTGGCTGAATCGATCCAAAGACTTCCCAAGAATCCCAAACCTGATTAAATGAAAGAAAGATTTTTTTAAAAATAAAAACAATAGTGATATCTTGGAGGAAATATTATCTATAACTTATAACAAAAAAGGAACATCATTTGTATAATTAAAATCTATGAATTATTCCACATTTTAGATCAAATACAAAACGTAATTAGATGGCCCTAAAGATTACAGGTTTCCTTTTCACATTTTTAAAAAATATTTTCATCCTGCATTTCAGTCAGTTAGTTACAGTCGAAAAAAGAAAGTCTTCACAGGACTGTAAGCAGCCCTATGAAAAACTAAGAACATCCTCACTGCTTACATTAGAATTACGAGGGTCAGAAGCAGCCAGGTGGTGCTAATCTAATAGACTTGATTAACTGATCAAGTGCGACCCTCTGTAAAAGCAGATGTTTTTTTAGTTTAAGACAATCCTTAGGAGGACAATAATCTTATCAGCAATAATCTTAGATAAACCACTGTTTTTCTAAGCTCATTGTCCAAACAATCTGGAGTCCATCATTATACAGTGAGAAAGATTACTCACTACATCCCAGCAACTTTACGCCAAGGTCAGACTGTAATGCTCAGAGAAATGACTCTACATACTTCTGTTGGCATGTTAAATGTTATTAAAGATCATAACTGTGCAATTGTTTGCTTGTTTGGAAAGGTTATTAGGAAAAAAACAACTATTTTCTCTAAAAAGAACAGCAGCAAAGCTTAGGTTGTCCTGCTCAAACCATTGGAGTCCTGGAACAATATCCTTTGGACAGACAAGACCAAAGTGGAGATGTGTGGCCATAGTCAGTTGTACCACATTTGATGAAAGCATATCAGCACAAGCACTTCACACCAACTGTCAAGCACAGTGGTGGAGGGTTGTTGATCTGGACTTGTTTTGCACCCATCCTGGAGGGTGGCCAGGACCTGGACACCATCCAGTCATTGAGTCAACCGTGAACCCCTCTGTATGCCAAAGTATTCTGGAGTCAAATGTGAGGCCGACAGCTGTCTGACTGAAACTGGGTCATGCAACAGGACAATAATCTCAAGCAATAATCTACAACAAGACGGCTGAAAAAGACAATAATGAAGGCGTTGCAATGGCCTATTAAAAGTCAAGACCTGAACCTGCTGTGCCAGGGCCATTAGAGAGCAGTGCATAAACAAGAAAGAAGAAGAATGGGCCAGAATTCCTCAACAGTGATGTGAAAGAATGGTAAAATTAAAATTATAAGTTATTGCTTTTTGTTACTGTTAAAAGTTACTGAGTCATGGAGTGTACTTAATTTTTAACTAAGTACACTTAATTTAACCAGATCAGACTCAAAATGCAGAACACAGTCATCATCTCCCTACTATTTATACAACCAAAGGCAGTTTTTTTTTGCAGTAGGTAAGCTCCTGCTAATAGGTAAGGAGGAGAAGTAGGTATCAGATAAGCTGGATCAAAACAAAGGTTAAACTTAAGAAACACTGACAGAAGCACTCGTCTCTTTGTCTTCTGGGTGACTTTTAACAAGCTTGCCATAAGCCTCATTCATGTTCTGTCACACAGCCTTGACCATTGTTTGTGATACGCCTGTAGTCAAACCAACCCATCTTGCCCCTCATCATAGTAAAACACAAAGGACATGAAGTTCTACATCACCTGACAGAGGCCAGCTGCTGGTCGAGCTGCTCCATGAGGGCTTTGGTGTCACAGTACTCGGCCTTCAGAGGGATCTGATTCCTGGCTCGGCTGCCCAGGAACAGATGGGGTGACTGTTCTTTGGGCGAGGGCAGCAGAGACACCATCAGAGGGGATCGCTGATTTACTATGCTGCTGAGGAGTGGGTGCCTTTGGGATGTGCTGATAAAAAGCCAAATCACAGAACAGGTGAGCATTTTAAATAAATGAATAAATAAACATTCTATATTTAAACCCCCAAGAGAAATATGCAAGTGTAAAAAGGGTATATTTAAGGAGAAGGATTGTGTGTGTCATACAGCAGTGTGGACACATTTCTCTCAAATACATTTTAATTACACAGCTTACAGCAGAAAGGCAAACTCTGGAGCTGTTTACATATTTTACAACACTAAAGCCATAATGAATATTTGTCTATATGAAAGCTCATCCAAGCAACATAATTTACACAACAGCTGTGTAAATTATGGAAAAAGACACATTTCGTACTAATTTGTCATACCTATGATCTTTATGGTGGAAACTTAAATACATATCCTGACGTGGTTAATCAGAAAAGCTGTTATGGTAGTAAGACTTTCCAGATCCAGATGCTGATACTAAAGAAAAAAAAAATACAACAAATACGTAGCCTAACACAGCGGTCTCCAACCCCCGGGCCTCGGACCGGTACCGGTCCGTGAGTCGTTTGGTACCGGGCCGCGAGAGTTGAGGCTCAGGTGTGAAATGTATGGTTTTCAGGGTTTTTAATCGGTTTTCAGCGTTATTTTGTTATCGTTTACTCGGTTTTCCTGGGTCTTTTCACGTGTGTTATGAATAAATTTTCTTTTTTTCGGTACCGGTACTAGTTTTATTTTGTTGTATTTATCCGCGACACCTTAAAGGCCGGTCCGTGAAAATATTGTCGGGCATAAACCGGTCCGTGGCGCAAAAAAGGTTGGAGACCGCTGGCCTAACAGATGTTTTAGAGCATTTTCTGTGGGTGATGAAGGCATTTCAAATTGTGTACATCCACCCTCAGGAGGAGAGGAAGCTTCAAGCCTGGCTTTTGATTGTTTGCTTTCAACCTGACAGCAGGAAAGAGCTCCAGGCCTCTGACAGCTTACAAAACTACCCATCTCATGTCCAACAGAACTGAGCTACACAAAGCAGGCTGTCAGATGGTCCCCTCCTATTGGACAAAGCCGTGAATCTGTCTACATCAATCATTTTTCAGTTAGACGTCAGACATGGCATCCATCAAACTCAAATTTATTGTCCGAGCTATTAGCTTGTTTGCAGTGTAATGTGGTGATCCAGGTTAAGACTGGTTACACATACTAATGGTTAAACTAAAAATCAATAACTGTTTAGGCGCTAATTTCCAAATAGCAAATCTGGAAACTGATTTCATGGGATGCACTATATTGCCAAAAGTATTCTCTCATCTGCTTCACACACATATGAACTTGAGTGACGTCTCATTCTTAACTCATAGGGTTTAATATGAGGTCGACCCTTTGCAGCTATAACAGCTTCAAATCTCTGGGAATGATTTCCACAAGGTTCAGGAGTGTGTCTGGGAATTTTTGACCATCCTTCCATTTCTAATTCATCCCTCTTCACTCAGGTGGTCTGAGTGAATACACCAATTTCTTTTCTGCAATGTAGATGAACAGAAATGGTAACCTGGATGTTTGGTCTGTTTCTAAGCATCCACTGGAATAAACTTTAAAAGAGTGAATTTAGGAACAAGCTAAAGCAGAATAACGATCTCCTTTTACCTACAATTTCTTTCCGCCTTACCCTCTAGTCATGATTGCTTTTCACCATTTGTAAATATTTAAAGAATTGCTTGTAAAAATGCCGGCATCAATGGGAAAACCTCAGCAATGCTGTAATTATACACCAAGGCCATTGCATGTGCTGCTTTATAAGCTTTTCTGACTGGCATGTGGGTGAAAACAATAAATATGGAATGGTAACGTCACAGTAGTAGGACTGTGATCAGGAGCATAACTTTACCACACTTTTGTCTACTCAAAGGCATTTTAAATACCTGTTAAATAAAAATATGCAAAGGGGTCTGTAGTAACACCTCAAAACAACCTTTACTTCACATTTATATACCTTTGTTTTAGTGGACTATTATGTCTCATCTTGGAGTGAGCTGCTCCTGTCTCCACTGAACCATTACTGGTAGTTCCCGAGTCGCCGTCAGTCATATTCTTCACTGCCATGTTGAACGAGTCAGAGTACAAAAGACGTCCAACCTCCTCTTGGATGTCCTTCAGGTCCCTCCTGCCAAACGTCACCCAGGCCACGTAGCAGAAGAAGCTGTACAAGCACTAGAAAAAGGGAGACCGAATCAGTTCTTTATCAAGCGGACATTCGTACATTTTGTCCATGTATTCACAGAACAAACATTTAGTATCCCTACTCGCAGAGCAAAGCCCCAGGTGGCACCTTAGTCATCTGTGTTTTTGAAAAGGTCACAATAGCTATTTCTGTTCAAAAGGTCACACACTGAGCAGTCAATAGGCTGCTGCTGTTAGCGTGGCATTGCTCTCCTTGTCAAGCCACCTGGCTAAATACCAGTGAGGACCTGTCAAAGCAAAGCACCTGTGTTGAATCAACATCCCCTACCAGTAACTAATTCATTAAGGACACCAGCTAAAACACCACTCAGTGTGGTTCTGCTCTGCTCCCCGCTGCCTGCATTCACAGATGGTGAACTGGCCTCGACCCTGACCAGCTGAAGGACCCATTTTTGTCTACAGGTGTGACAATACAATTTTGAATCTTTCAAGAACATCCAGCCAAATTCATCAGATTTCAACAAGTTAGACAACTGACATAGGGAACAGTTCCTAACACTCATTAAAAATATATCAATCTGGGTGATCCGTAAGCTTTGAATGTGAGAAACATGTGCAGCACATTGTCATGATTGCACCTTACCGCATGAAGAAGCCACTCTCTTCTATTTGACGATATCTGCCTCCTAGAAATAAACACAGGATATTTGTATTAACAACACACTGGTATTGACTGACTATGAATGACATAATGATTTCAGCATAGAGCCTAACTTTTTGGTTTAGGATTTTTGAGCTGTCTGACCACATTTAAAAAACTATTATTTGCTGTACTTAAACAGCAGGTACCATTTTGCTGATTAAACCCTTTTAAAGACATGACCACAAAGAACAGTATTCAACACCATGCCAATCTGTGATAAAATGTAAGCATGAAAACTGGAAAAGAAATCCAAAGAAACCTTTAAAATCTTCAGAAAGAATACATAAAAAAATCTAGCATCAAGGTGTTAGCATTCTTTAAAATATACCTATTACCTGAATCCAATTAAAGGAAGAAAGCATGTGGATATGGGCTCTCTGAGCAAAGTAAACCCAGAGTTCATATTTTCCAACTCCTTCCTCCCAAACCCAATTCCAAAAAGCGAGACGGTGTGTAAAATGTAAATAAAAATTCATTACATTCTGATTTTATTTATGTTTTATAAAGTGTCTCACTTTTTCTGTATTGTGGTTGTAATGCTAACATGCATGTTTAAAGACTCTTTACTCCTGTGTCTTCCAAGCACAATATATGTACAATGGAAAATTCAAATGGCTAAATGACTTCCTCAACATGTCCTGAAGTTCTCCTGAGGCTTGGTAACGAACTAATCATGTGATTGACCTGTGTTGACCCAGGGTAACATCTAAAACCTACAGGACAACAGCCCTCGAGCCCTGGAGTTGCCCACCCCTGGTCTAATATGTAGCTCTTGGGTTTCTGACAGTTTCTCTGAGAATTGCACAGTCTGCGCTTGAGGTGAATTTTCTGAAACATCCAAAAATGGAAAGATTGGCAGCTGTCTTGGATGTTATCTCCTTGTGAATAATCTTTCTCATTGTAGAATGATGTACATTAAATAGTTTGGAAATGGCTTAACTCTTTTCCTCTAAGATCATGACTGATGTCTTTCATCACTGGCATTGTGTTACTACAGATTAGCAAACTGCCAAAATGTGGGCTTTTAACAAGGTGGTCACACTTGCTGATGATCAAGTAATCAAGCGATTAGCAGCACTTGACTGCTACTTACCCTCTTAATTCCTTTGGAAGCACTAATGTTGTACTTCATTTTTTACACATTGCTTCTGCATTTTGGGTTTAGTTTATGTAAAATAAATAATGACACTGTGTAATATGACACATGTTGTTATAAACCTGAGATTGAATTTACATAATAACGTATATAATCTGACATCTAAGCCCTTAGAATTAAAAGAGGCTACAATTTCTTTTTCATTACTGAGGCTTCAGGAATCTTGATCAGCCACACTGCTGATAACAAACGACAAGAAAAATGGAACAGCAAAAAATAAAAACATTTTTAAATGCTGCAATTAGTGATGTAAATATAATCTCAGCGAAATAATATTCAGTGGCTTCCTTAGACCTCTTTAAGAAAGTCTCACTATTGCTACTCAGTAAGTATTTTTGTTCAAGTATCATAAGTAATACATCTGTATACATAACAAGTATACAACATCGGAGTGAAAATATTACAGAGAAAAGGGGACATTCTCTGCCTACCAGCTGTTCAGTGAGTTTGCTCACTTGTGATATGGGCGATGCTGTTCTCTTTTCAGATCCATCATCAGGCGGAAGTAGCAGACAGCCAACTTCTTTTGAGCCATCTCCTTTTTGGCCCAAGCCTCCACCATCATCTGGTGCTCTGACAGGCTATCACCATTAATGGCATTAAGGAGCCGAAGAGGAAAAAAAGAGAGCGGTAAGAGACACGAAATGGAATTAAACACAGGTGCATGTAAGTAAAATACAACAGGATTCAAACAAAGGTAGAATTTACCAGCTTGTACTCTACTTACACTGCTGTAGGCACAGATTTATTCTTCAGGGTCTTATGTATGAAGAAGCAAGACAGGTAAAGAAGAAGTGTAATGAGGACTTCATCGAGCTCGTCACTCCTGCATCAAGACAAGGGCACAGAAGTATGAGATCTTTTTTATATGATACCTAGAAAAAAAAAGTTATGAATGGATGAGGTCATATTATGTAATTCATTACTTCAATAACTCCAGAAAGCGGAGAGGAACGGGAAGCAAATAATTCTCCTGTAGCAAACCGACAGCCACCTCTACAACACAGAAAGTGTAATCACAAACAGCCATCTAATGTCAGTAGATGTAAAAATATCAACATCTAACTAAATGAATCATTGTTTGACATTTTATGTGAAGACTGGTCTGAGTTTAAAAGCAATTGGTAGAAAAATGTGCACATACAGTTAGGCCAGTAAATATTTGGACAGAGACAATTTTTTTTGGTTAACAATTCTGGTTAAATGAAACAACTCAGATTCAGTTGAAGTGCAGACTTTTAGATTGCATAGAATTGTGAGAAACTAGAGAAACTAAAGCATTTTAACGCAATCTCTTCATTTCAGGGTCTCAAAAGTAATTTGACAAATGAAATAACTCAAAATAAAATGTTCATTTCTAATACTTGGTTGAAAATCCGAACTCATGGACATCACCAGATGCTGGGTTTCTTCATTTTCGGGCCTTTACTGCAGCAGCTTTCAGTTGCTGTTTGTTTGTGGGCCTTTCAGTTCAAAGATTAGTCTTCAACAAGTGAAATGCATGCTCAGTCGGGTTAAGATCAGGTGACTGAACTGGCCATTCAAGAATATTCCACTTCTTTGCTTTAATAAACTCCTGGGTTGCTTTGGTTGTATGTTTTGGGCCATTGTCCATCTGTATTATGAAATGCCACCCTATCAATTTCTCAATTTATTTGGATTTGAGCAGACAATGTCTCTAAACACCTCAAAATTCATTCAGCTGCTTCTGTCCTGTGTCACATCATCAACAAACACTAGTGTCCCGGTGCCACGGGTAGCCATGCACGCCCAAGCCATCACACTGCCTTCGCCATGTTTTACAGATAATGTGATAGACTTTAAACCATGAGCTGTTTCGCGCCTGCTCCATACTTTTTTCTTGCCATCATTCTGGTAGAGGTTGATCTTGGTTTCATCTGTCTAAAGAATGTTTTTCCAGAACTTTGCTGGTGGTTTTAAATGGTTTTTAGCAAAGTGCAATCTAGCCTTTCTATTCTTGAGGCTTACGAGTGGTTTGCACTTTGCAGTGAACCCTCTGTATCTACTTTCATGCAGTCTTCTCTTTATGGTAAACTTGGATATTGATACGCCTACCTCCTACAGTGTTGTTCACTTGGTTGGCTGTTGTGAAGGGGTTTCTCATCACCATGGAAATAATTCTGTGATCATCCACCACTTTTGTCTTCTGTGGACGTCCAGCTTTTTGCGTTGCACCAGTTCACCAGTGCTTTTGTTCTTTCTCAGGATATACCAAACTGTAAATTTTGCCACTCACAATATTGTAGCAATTTCTCTGATGGATTTTTTTCCTGCAGCTTAAGGGTTGTGTCAAGCATTAGCACACAGCAACTAAAATATCTCAGAAAAAGGGTAGCTCTGATTCCTTAGCTTCACAAACGGTTTATTATTTGTTTTTCTTAAAAACATAACACAAAAATATTTGTAAAAGTTTTTTTTTAATGTAAGTTTTGAACCCTTAATTGTCCTCCAATTGTATAATGACCCTCAAATCACACAATATAAGTGTTGTTAGTTCAGCATCATAGTGGGACTTGCGTTTAACATCGTCAATGGTGACCCGGTCCCCTTGTCTCTTCAGCACTGAGGACCTGTACGCATTGAAATGAGCAGGGCTCAGTCTGCTCCCAATCCTTTGGCGCCCTCTGTGGTTCATTGTAAATATGTCAGCCAACCTGAGGACACAGCAGAGATGAACATGTGCAGGTTAGTTCCCTAAAGATCACGAATTACTTAAAAATAAATATATAAATGAGGAGTCTTTTTACTTTCAAGTTTAAGGTACTGTTTGACCCACACATACCACTCTGCTCGCTCCTGAAGCTCTTTAATGTTGTTATTGGTTTGACTCGCCGTCAAAACACTTTCTTCTCTTGGGTAAGAACTAGAAACGGAAGAGAAAAGCTTACCATTGTGATATTTAACACTTTCTCCTGCTCGCAGGTGATGTATACTAGTGGCTTATTGCCTTGCTTTCCTCACCTGATAAACTCCAGCTTTTTAGATTTATCATTCCAAACCCAGCGGCCTAAAGGGGGAATGTTCACCTGAAAAGTACACACGGCGAGTTTGGAGTCTGGCATTTCAAGGTTAACGACGAAAAGGGAGCAGCGGGCTGCTCCCAGTAAATATTACCGCGCGGTAATATTTACTGGCAGAAAAATAAAATTTGATCCCCCCCCCCCACACTTTTTTGTTACAAAAATGTCCAAAAGTTTAAGAATTCTCCCATTTATTTGTTGTAACTTACATTTTTGGAATCCTTTAAATATTTTGTCATTTTTATAACACAAATTTCCCAGAAAGCTTTCACTCCGTTATGCTCCTTCCTGTTTGTTGTTTGCTAATGTTAGCCACGGTATCCAGGCAACAGCCAATGGCGAAAAAGCTGGTCAGAGGCAGTCAGAGCCTTCAGATGCGGATTTCAATTAACTGACTGGAGTGCGGTAAAAGCACAAAAACAAACAAACTTGGATTAATACGCGTGCAGAAGCATTTTAATCGTACAACATAACCCCATGAGGCCATCAGTAGATTATATCCTTGTGCTAATGGTGTTCATAGTGTTTTACACATCACTTTTTCTCCCCGATGATGCTGTTAGGATTTATGTTACTACAACGTTATTTGGCCCCGAAAAAATAAACCGCATTAAATGTCCGATAGTCCCAGTTTATTGCAATTAAAAAAGGGGTCAAAACATATTTAAAATGAACATACAAGTTGCTGTTGTGTTTAGATATACTGCAGGGGTCTAAAGAGTCAGTACATTTTTTGACATCTTTCAAAAGTCAAGCATTAATGTGTGTACTATAGTATATAGTGCAAAAAGTAAAAAAAAAAAGAGAGAGAGAGAGAGAGAGAAGGATATGTGGAGTGTTTTGTAATCATTCTGGAATATCCATTTTCTATTTTAATTCTTTTTTCTGGCTAAGCGCTTGTGTGTTTACCCAGTATCTGCTTTCCTGAGCACTCGAATCTCCTAAGCTTGAATCACTCTTTGGAGTGTTCAAGAAGTCCAACCCCAGTCTTGCTTTTTGTTGGGTCATCCACTGATGTATGTATCACAGCTACTTGAATGTAAGATTAAAATCTCTCCTAATGTTTTGTTTCTGGTTGCTTTACAGAATTTAGCATTAAGTAAATTTTGCTTATGCATATTCTGATTGCACGTGTTTTGCTATTTCACCTCATATAGTATAGTATCAGGTTAAATAAGGGTTTACTGAGAAAAACCATTGTACTGAGAGCGGGTAAAAACCCAAAAAACAATTTTTGTATATGAATAAAAAAGGTCATTTCAGGTCTGAGAAAGTGTTTAATGCCTTTCAGCAAAGCACGAACAGCAGCAGTTATTACTTGTGGTTTTTTTCTTTATGATATGACATGACTGGCGAGCATTTTCTCATATCTTTAGCTGATAATTCCTATCACTTTGTTAGGAAAGTTCATGCAAAGTTGTCTACTTCTCGTGTATGCTATCAAAATTCATCGGTAGTCCGTCTGATAAATGAGGCTCCAGGTGGGGCAAAGCATGCCGACATGGCTACAGTCATTCCTATGACCCCTCTTTGCATACAAAAGGCATTTTGAACTAAGACCAATGATATAATGAGAACTTTAGCGAGAAACTTTAACATTCATATCTGGAGACAGGGCTGAGAACACATGATGTTACAAAACCAGACCTAGCTGCAGTTATCTAAGGGTGAGTGATCACACACAAAAGAATCAGTAGTTAGTCAGAGCTGATTAAGTTAGATTACTGCAGATGCAGTAATCTGCATCTTCTATTGTGCAAATCCACTGCAAGAAAAGATAGTCAAAGCTTCTAGCTCACATGCCTTTGATAACTGGTCCAACTTCTTGAGACAAAGAATTTCTCTTTTGTCACGTGAGAAACCAAACTGTGATGTCTGAAACTTGCCAAATGACTTGCATAAAACGAGAAGCTTTTTAAGGTAAATAATCAGATTTTTCTTTTTTAGTGATGTAAATAAACTTGGAAATATATTGATATCATGGCTAGAAGCAATTTATTCACCCAAAACATACGGAAAAGTTTCACAATGTAAGTTACCCTTTATTAGTCCCACATTCACATCCTTCTTTATGTTGTTGTGTACCAATGATTCATAAAACAAACCAGTGAGGCAAATAACACCAAAACAGTGACGCTGTGTAGCCAAAAACCAGCTGCGGTTTGAGGGTAAATATTTTCTTATCAGATGGGGACATTATTTCCAAGAACACCTTTGCTTACAAATCTGGAAGTATTAATCATACAGTGCATAACAAAAAGCAAATGTCTTTCTTCTTTTTTTATGGTTCCATAGAAGAAGGCCCCTCCTCTGTGGAACTAACTCCCAGTTTGGATTTGGGACACTCACCCTCTGTACTTTTAACGAGTTAAAAACGTCCCTTTTTTTTTTCAGCTTGTAGAAGAGCTGGATCAGGTGAGCTTGAACCCTCCGTTCGTTTCACTGCAATAGACTTAAGCTGCTGGGGACCACTCACAATGCACTGAGAGTTTCTTCTTCACTCACCTTTTCTTTTCAAATCAGTTATATTAAAAAGGATGAATCACAGTTGCACCAGGTTATTAGATTAATGCACATGGACAGAGCCAGGAAAGAGTCCAGTATCATTTATATTGTTGACTCCTGAAAACTGGCCATTGGCTCACAATTAAATTCGAAAGCGTCAGATGCTGTAGATGTGGACTGGTCGGAATTAGCACTACTTATAAATCCAACAGGACTCTTGGGATTTAGGCCCCTACATTCTATATATGGTTTTATTTTTAGTATGTCCTAAAAGAATGCAATTAATAAAAAAATACAACAAAAACAGCTATCAAACTCGTAAAAAAAAACCCTCACACATTTTGTAAATGTTTTATAAGTAATTTATTAACATTTAAAGTGTATAACAACTGAGGCGTTATAAACATTTTGTTCTATTTTAAAAGTATTATTTTTAAAAGCTTTCAGGAACTGAAAAAAACTCATTTAGCACTTTACTTTTCTCCCTAGGATTTCCTTCACCAGGATCGGCTTTCTTAAGGTCTTTAAACTGGGATCCTAGTCTTTAGCTGCTCTTCGGAGTGATGAGGTACGCATTTTGAGTACATTTATCCAGCCACCACTGTCGCTGTAGGTCTGTCATGGCATCCATTGACTGCAGCAACTCTATGTCACAGCTGCTTCCTGAAATAAAAATAAAAAATAAAAAAAAATCAGGAAATTTCTGGAAAAAAGACCCACAAATTTAACAAATTCTGCACATATCTATTTTGTATTTTGGTTAATTTCTAGGCAGTGGTTGTATGATTGTGTGCAAAACTGCTCAGCCATAATTATTTTCATAGTACTCACCAAACAGACTGTAACTGCTCATCAGGTACAAAAAAAAGGAGGACCTAAGAGATGAACAGATTCAAAAATAACTTTAAACCTCCCTAATGGAACTTTCACACCAAATGCAAAGCAAAGCATAAGGTTTCACCTCACATTACTTGTTTAAACACAAATATTTGCAGCCAATGGGAAGACTGCAGATCGTTGGAATCAAGCTACAGTAACACATTTCCATAACCTGCCAGCAGGTCCTTCAATATTCACTCACTTTTCTCCAAGCCTGCTCCTTTATTCCTGCCTTTTTCCAAAAACCAAAATTGAACCAAATAGCTCCAGCTGACCTCAAACTGTATCAATAAGCTTGCCTTCCTTTTCTGATTGTTGGGAGCATCAGCATCAGTTTAAAATGAGGCCTTAATCTCTGCTGGGTTGGGGTCCAACTTGTTTGGACTAGTTTTCTGAAAGTATTTCGGGACACAGTTTTTACTTTCTTACGCCACTGAGGTAGATAAAAGTGGGGTCTTTACTTGTGCACTTGGGGCTGATGGAAAACAATTTCGTTCCGTTGCCAGTATTCTTCCCATTCACCGAGGGCCATGACCCGATCTGCCTGCTGGCCAAGCATGCTGGTTTGCCTTACCCCCACCACAAGTGGATAAAGAAGAGCACTTAGACAAAGAGAAAAAGAATTGTTTGTGAAAAGTGTTCATGTAGCTGGATACGAGATGAGAATGGATGATCCGCACAGGATTACATATACACATGTGCCTTTAGAGAGTATTTACAATGCATGCAAGGTTAAAAAGCCCGACCAAAGACTATTTGATCCTACTGGTAAGTAATCAGCTAAAGCCAGAGCAGTCACAGTTAGCCAAAAAGCTGTATGTAGAGTACACAGTTTTGTGCCAAAAAGTGGTCATCTGCCAAAAACTAAGCAAATAAATAAAAAATGATTGTACTATCAAAACTGTAAATGAGTTCTTAGTCCTAAATCTGTCGAACATGTCGCTCATGAATGATGAATAAATATAATAAATAATAATAAAATAAATATCAAGGCAGTTTTTGGTAAAATGAATTTTTATATATCCTTCATTTATAAAAATAAAAATAAAAATGCCACTAATAGTAAAACTGTCTTTTTCAAGAGACATCTGACCAAGAGGTCAAATATAAGATGACACAATAAATTATTTCAAAACAAAAAAAAGTACACCCTTAAACAAATTCAGAGCATTCAGACTTCTTTGGTAGAAGTCTATCAGCATGACCTATTGTGACTCTGCAATATTTGCCCGCTCTTCCTTGCAAATGTGTTCCAATTTTGTCAGATTGTGAGGTCTGGGCTCTTCCTGGGGAATTGCAAAAGTTTAATTTCCTTCCAGTGAAGCAATTCTTTTGTTGATTTGGATGCATGCTTGAAGTTAATGTTGTGAAATTCCTCTTCATCTTCAACTTTCTAGCAGGCACCTTTGGGGCCAAAAGTGACCGGGATTTGGAACTGTTCATTACTCACTTTACCTTGACTAAAGCCTCACTTCCAGCTAAAGAAAAGCAACCCCTAAGCATTATACTGAAAACCACCATGAATCACCATGGGTATGGTGTTTGTTTGGGGGGGTTTTTGTGATGTAAAGTGTTATTTTTGTGCCAAATCTGCCTTTTGGAACCATGTCCACAAAGTTTAACCTCGATTTCATCAGACCATAAGACATTTTCCTGCATGCTTTTGGGAAACTACGGAGCCCCTCTGATGACATGGTCCAAAAAATAAATAAATTTTGGCCACAAAATACTACTTCGTGGGCATGAAATGGGTATAACCTGCGAACGAAATGCTAATTTGTGGGCACGAAACACTTGACCAATAACCGTGATCCTTCCCAGGCCCTTGCAGTTGGTTGACAATAAAATCTATCCCGGCGTCCATGTCGTACTTACGTTACGCACACGTTATACCTATTTCGTATATAGACTCACCCCCTTGCTCACTCCCTCCCTCCTGTGCTGAATCATAGAGCGAATGAATCACTCAGGACTCACTAACCCCCTCCCTCCTGTGCTGTCAGCAGCTGTGTCCCAAAACGTCGGCTGCATCCTCCGGAGGCCGCATTTGAAGGCCGATTACGTCACAGCCAGGCAACGAAGGCTGTCCCAATTCATCGACTCCTCCAAATGCGGCCGACAAATGTGTCCTTCATTTCCCCAAATTTGAAGGATGGGTCGGGTGTGTCCTTCGTGGCCCACCATACCCCAGAATTCATACCCCAGCCAAATTTCAGCTGCCAACAATGGCGGCCGCTACTAAGTTTTCAAATTAGTCTTATTAATCTTTCTGGGTTGCAAAATAAACTTTTAACACATTTTCAGGCGAGAAAGTAGCTGTGTAAATCTGTTTGGTTTATCAAGACATCGTATATTTGCAAAAGTGTGCCGACGTTTTCGGAGACGTCTGTTACCCACCCGCTCGATAGCTAGCCGGGGGGTTCAATGGTCACTCCAGCCGGCGAGAGCAACGGACTCCCGGCTTCATCGTTTTCAGACCTCTGCTCTTTTGCTACTCAGGTTAAAAATGATATACAAGTCACTTGGATACCATAAAAATGTAATTGTTTGCCTTTTTTCGGTGTTTTATTTGTTCCGGAGTAAATCGGTTTGGCTGAGATCAAAGTTATTAGATTATTAGATTAAATAAAACTTTATTAATCCATCGGGTGGGTTCCTCCGGGATTTTTACACAGCTGAGTAAACGTTAAACAGAAAACTGATTAAACAGAAGTGTGAGACGGTCGAGAATTTACGCCAGTGTCCTGTTATATTTTAGATAGATATGTTTTAGACAAGGAAAAGCTTGAAAAGGGACCTTGAAAGTGCATAAAAAGTGCTTGAATTTGACCCTGAAAAAGGCGTATGAACCCTGATTTATGGTTTTTTTACACATACGAGGTGGGCAGCCTGTGGGTTACAAGCAGATAGAAAGTTCTTCTTTTCATTACAAGCTTGCCTCCACCCACCACTATATAAATGCATTCCGTTACTAGTTGGATAATCTTAAAGGTTTTTATTTTATTGCGCCTGTAATATGAGAAAGTAAAATAAAGCCGCTATTGGAAAAAGAAATAGCTCTTTACTGAGAAAATAGTTATCAAGATCACATTGTCATAATATTTAAGACAGAATTCAAACTATGAGTTTGTCTGTGAAAAACTAACTGCCGCGATCATTCTGTCTCTCTATACAGCATGCGCTCCGATCTCCGCCGACTCATCAGAAATCTGCTGCGTCACCCCCCTGAACTCTCCATGCCCCTGGAACCCTCCCTCTCTGACCCCCCCAGGAACCACCCCTCCTTACGATTAGTCACACATATGAAATCGATTAGACACTTCCCCCCTCCCATCACCCGATGCAATTCGTTGCGCTTATGGATCATATTACACACATCTGGATTCGATTAGTCATTTCCGGAGTACTTCCGGTAGGGTCAAAAGGTCAAGGCTAGGGTCATCAATCAAATTTTGAGACAAGCAGGGTACCTATTTTTTTGAAGTGTGTGTATTTTTTGTTTTTTTATTTTTTTAATGAAGTAGAAACTACGGAAAAAAGACCTATGCCAGAGCGCCTCAGTGTAAAACCGGGATTTCTTAAACACTTGCGCCGCTGTGCGTCCGGAAAACACCTTTCCCTTCCGTCCTTCCTTATGACAGGCGAACGTGGCTCATGGGGTTGGGAAGCGCATCTGTAACCGGAAGGTCGCCGGTTCGATCTGGTCGTTGTGTCCTTGGGCAAGACACTTTACCCTACCGCCTACTGGTGTTGGCCAGAGGGGCTGATGGCGCGATATGGCAGCCTCGCTTCTGTCAGTCTACCCCAGGGCAGCTGTGGCTACAACTGTAGCTGCCTCCACAAGTGTGTGAATGCGAGAGTGAATAGAGCGCTTTGATTAGTGACAGCTGCCACAGTTTGAATCGTGATTGCAGCAAGCGTTTAAAAGAGAAAGAAACAGAGGGGTCCATGATGGAAATAGTGCATTATTTATATCGCAAAGGAATACATGGGCAATTTGAAAAGCAAATTCTGGTATGCATATAACTCACAACTGAAGATAGAGTTTATATAGCATTTTAACACAAGGTTATTTAATTAAAAACGAGAATAATAAAATCTCAAAATACAAGGAAGTAAAATGTATATTCTCATATGAAAAAAAGAGTAATGTTTACTGTAGTCTGAAAATAAAATCTAATATTTTACGAGACGAGCCTTTATGAAAAAACCCTGCGTACCCAGAGACATCTGCATAAAAGGTACCATCAAATTAGCCAAGAGTTCTAATCACACACACACAACATTCACATTATCTTCTTTTGTTGTATTCCTTTGCTTAATCTTGAGCAATGATTTAAGAACTCGAGATACTGTTACTCAGAATGCTGAGTAACATTTTTCTGACGTAACATGAATGCATCATCAGGCTCCTCCAAAACCAGAAATAAAACCCGCTTCTCGCACTTTATAAACACTGAGAGACAGCCGACCGAGAGCTCAACGGAACGCCTCGCCTTGCAGACACAACTCGGGGTAAGAATTCAGGCGAGCCTCGCTGCGTTTATTGATCGGAGAGCTTGCCCGGTCAGCTGTGTTGCTGAACAAATATTAGCAGCCTTCATTCAGGAGAGACACGCTTTGAGTTTACGGGAAAACGTGCGGTTCTAATGTCTTTTCACGAGTACTGTGGTTGTTTTTATGCTGCGCTATTGCAAGGCAAGCGAGGATCTGACATTGTTATTGTTATTGTTATAAACTATTACATAATTATTCATTTCCGCTTAAGAATGACGCTTTAACGACGCTGTTATTCAAACCATTTGTTTGGTTATAGTTTCCCCTTTACGCCATAGTTTAGTTTATAACGGGACAACAAGCTCGTGCAGATCCACGATTAATGCAGATGATTTTCTACCAGAAGGTTCAAATGACCCATCGGTTGGGTTTTGTAACCCTGCAGGTGACAGCTCATGGACCACACGTGCTTACATTTTGCCGTTGCTGTAGGTGTCTTTATGTGCAAGACCATAATCCTGTGCGGATTATGCATTCTCTTCCTGTCTCCAGCGACATGAAGTGGTTTTTTTCACAAACAATTCTTTTTCTCATGTCTAGCTGCTCTCCTTTAACCGCTGATCGTCAGGCAAACATAACCAGCATGCTGGAACAGCAGGCAGATCGGGTCATGGCCCTCGGTGAATGGGAGGAACGCTGGCAACAGAACAAAATCGGCTTCCATCAGCCTGAAGTGCACAAGTAATGACCCCACTTTTTTATGTAGTTCAGTGGAGTGAGGGTGCAAAAGTAGCCCAAATGCATGTAAGACTTGTGAAGATTACATCAACTATAAAGATGCATCACCACCTAAAGCTGTGTCCTGTTAAAAGCTTTAGAAAGTGAGCTTAGATTATCTATTTTTAAGACAAGTACCATCAATACGGCTGATCCAGACATCACCAGACATCACCTCAACATGAGATTGCAGCAGGAATGTGTATTTTGCTGTTAATACTGTTTTTCTAACAGAATGCTGAAGAAAAACATTGACAAAGTTCTCAATGGACGAACAGGAGTTCGCTTCTTCTTCCCTCTGTGTGGGAAAGCAGTAGATATGAAGTGGTATGAAAACATCTTACTAAATTAAATTAAGTTGATCAGTATTAGTGTCAGTTGTCATCTTTGCTAACCTTTTGTTTTTTCGTGATTCTCAGGCTAGCAGACATGGGCCATGCAGTGGTTGGAGTGGAGATTTCTGAAAAGGCTATTCGTCAGTTTTTTGAGGAGAACAACATGACGTACAGTGAGGAGCCTGTGCCTGCTATACCCGGAGCAAAGGTTTACAAGGTTGGTGAACTTCATGTGTGCAAACACGACCACTAAATGATCTAAGCTGAGGTAGTCAGTGTTATTGCTTCTCAGCAATTCAGTGTCTTTACGCTGAATAGAGTTTTTTATGGTGATGCCTGAGTTTATTATGTGCATGTGAGCAGCTCTTTCTTCTGAAAACCGTTTTGATCTCAGTGAGATTTTGGGCAGAATGGCTGCAAGCTACAAGAAAGTTATATTGCTTACTTTAAAACAGACACAAGTTGTTCATCCATGCTGTCTTTTGTTTTTAGAACTCAGAGAAAAACATCTCCCTGTATCAGTGTAACCTGTACAACTTCTCCAAGTGAGTAAACTACATATTGTTTTATGCTTTTTAAAATAAAATAATTAAAATTACTGTTAAATTGAGTTCCTTTCTAACTTCACAGTTCCATCGAGGGTCAGTTTGGAGCAATTTGGGACAGGGCCTCTCTCGTGGCCGTCAACCCAGGAGACAGAGAAAAGTAAGATGAGATGAAGACCCTCATTTTAAACCCTTAGAATGACATTTATTTCAAACTAAATAAACTCCAAAACATTATGTTTTACACAGTTTGATACTGTATTATATAATGTACCCATACACGGATGTCCCATGCCAATGCTATTCTTTTATTTTGTAGGTATGCAGCTCTCATTATTTCTTTGATGGCAAATGACTGCAGATACCTCCTGGACACTTTACTGTACAATCATGATTTATATCAAGGTATTCTATATCATTTCTATATTGTGTGTGTGTGTGTGTGTGTGTGTGTGTGTGTGTGTGTGTGTGTGTGTGTGTGTGTGTGGTGTGAGAGAGAGAGAGAGAGAGAATAGACATAAAATACCATATTTTAAAATCTGTTGATCTCTTAGGGCCTCCCTTTTTCGTGCCTGATGAGCAGGTGCATAGTCTGTTTGGTGAGTACTATGAAAAATAATTATGGCTGAGCATTTTATATATTAACCAAAATACAAGTGATAACTGACAGATTTGTGCTATAACTCTACAAAATATGGGGTCTTTTTTCCAGATAATTAGAAACGTTTTTAATTGTGTATTATTTTGTTTTACTTTCTGTAAATTCAGGGAGCAGCTGTGGTATAGAGTTGCTGCAGTCAGAGGATGCTCTCACGGACAAACAACGAAATTGGGGACTAGATAAATTTCTTGAAAATGTGCACCTCATCACGCCAAAGAGCAACTAAAGGCTCAGAGTTTAGAGAAAGAAGAAGAAAATCCCCGGGAAGGAAAAATAAAGTGGACAAGTGAAGTGCCTGAATTCAAGAGAATTTATAATTCTCCTTTTTATTTGTTGTTGTTATGGATCAAATAACATGATCATTAAAAAACACGATCGTAAAACAAGATGTCTGGTGTTTTTAATGAGTTTTGTAGCTGTTTAATTTTATTTATGACTTTTGCACTCAAAACAAAACATAGAATTCAGAAAATATTAATTCTATGATAAACAATCCACTGAATTTAGAATATGTCGAAAGGCTAAACTGTGGGAGTCACCCCTGCGTAAACCTTTTATTCAGTCGTGGCCCAAAGAGAGTGCAAGGAACACTGACAAACAGTCAAAACTGGCTTCTGTCGGTCTCAACTGCACAAGTGAAGACTTAATTTTATCTATCGTCCTATTAGAAAACAAAATAATTTAAATATGTGTCTAATGTGTGTGACATGGCAAGAATACTTCAACTAGAAATTTACTTTAACCTCTCCACCAATCACCCAAAGAAGTGTCCCCCAAAAAAATGTATTTCCCACCTAAATTCCGCTAATCACTGCACCCCTCTCACGGTGGTACATCCCATCTGTCGTCATTCATTTAAAAGTCAATGATTTTTTTTACTTAAATCATGGCTTATGGTTGACCAGGGAATGACTCTTTGGCAGATGACATTAGTACTGCACCCCAGAGATCTCCTGTATTCACTTACTTTCTGTCATGTGTAGGCTGTGTGCAGGCAGGATAGCAGGACCCAAAGTCCAGACCTATGGAGGCAAATGTGAACTCAAACTTAGATTTATTGCAAACATAACCAAAAAACTAAACTCAAAACTACAAAAACCAAACAGGCTGACAGGCAAAACACACAGCATGGGATAATGGAGATCACGACACAGACAAAGGAAAACACAGGGCTTAAATACACAGAGGGATAGTGATGGTAAATTTGATTCTTTTTACTGAATCGAGTTTTAATGAGTCACTCACCAAAGTGAATCGGTTTTTTGAGTCATTTGATTCACTGAGTCAGTTGACCAGAGAGTGCAAAAAATGTACATTTTCACTCAAACTTAATTTGTTTCTCTTTTCATGTAAATCCTACTGCTAAGATGAATGATTCTAAAAAAAACAACTATTTTATAGAGCAAAAAAGAGCAAAAATATTTCTAAAATTAAGCAATTTCCTATCAAAATTGCTTAAAGTATGAAATATTCATATACAAATACACATAAATGTGTGTACTGTCTCAGTGTGAGCTTGAAGACATTTATAATGTTTAAGTAGTTTAATGTGTAGGTGCTGAAACACATTTTGAATGAAAGCCGGGGAACTTTGGTAGCACAGAAACAAGTGGCTATTCTTTGTGACCATATGGATCACTCATATTACCATTATTTCACCCAAAGGCACCAAGTTAATACTAAAAAAGCTGCAGCAATACACACAAATATAAACAGTACTTGGTGACAACTTTGCTTTTAGCCTTTAACCCTCTGGGGTCCAGGGTATAATTGGCCGTTTTTGACTACTTTTGATTTGGCCTCTATATTTCACCTTTAAAAACTGTTTATCTTGCCAATCTGTTATTTTCTCATTTTGACAAACTGTATCAGCACAATTTATCTAAATTCAGACAAAATTTAAAATACGAGTAGAAAGTGATATTTTTGACTGTAAAAACCACAAGCATGTTTAACGAATCATTTTCATAACTTGAAATGCAAAAAGAAATTGTACATTTAAAAAAAAAAAATATGCACAAGTTTTGCAAACAAAGTTATATGGTACTATTTACCTAAAAATGCAGCCAAGGCGCAGACGTTTTTTAAATATTCATTTAAAACTATTTACAGGAAAATCAGGTGTTCTGCATCAAAGAAGAAGACACACAAATTATTTATGCGACTCCAAAAAATAGTTTGTGTCCACTATAACACAAATGAGAACAGCACAGGGATAAACCTGCAGGTGTGTCACTCAGCGTTTACACTGCAATCTGCCTTTGGTGGCTTTTTTGCAGCAACTGTGACATTCAGAGCTGACACACAAAACAAAACAACGACTACACTACACACTAACTACACAAGACAACACACTAACTTGAGACTCCAAACACGGTAAACGTCACAAATCTCTCGCGTATCAAAACTCTCTCTCTCTTTCGCTCACTCGCTCTCTCTCACTCCTAAAACGTCCCCCTCTTCCCAAAAAAACAAATGCCACATGTTGCCATATCATTTTTTGATTGGTCGACATGGTACATTTTTCCACCAATAGAGAAGGAGTGTTTTTTCTTTCTCTTTTTTCACTCACAAGCAAAGCGTGTTTGCTAGCGCTCTCCTTAGAAAACACCGTTTTTACCGTTTCTTCCCTGAGTAAACGCCACTGTTGTATTCAGAAAAAAATACCCCATCGGTTTTACGTGGCCTATCAACACAATTTAAAAACTGGTATATAGTTTGAAGTCCGCATGCTCGACCCAAGTTAAAATGGAGACTGGGTCCGTCGACCCCAGAGGGTTAATTAGAAAGCCTTAAGTTGGCTAGTTACGTATCGGGCTAATGTTTAAAGCTTTCACTTGAGCAAAGTAACTCATATCACTGCTAAGTAATGTTAGCTAAGTTCACAGCATATTCCATAATAGCGCTGCCATACTGCATCACACTCAGTGCATTTCAATCATTGCTCCAGCGAGTTTGACAGCTAGCAAAATAATCATAATTTAAAAAAAAAATAGCATGTGTAACGTACACCTACTGGAAAATTATTTACTAGAACTCACCTATCATGCGACTGTCTTTTTCCATCAAACACTCATTAAAACAGCAACCTACAGGTATGTTAGCGCACTCATCCCCGACTGTCCGAAGGAGGGGCGGGGTCACACGTTGAAACAGAGGCGCAAGGCAGCCCAGGCCGGGAAATTTTGGTTTTACATTTTGCGACTCATTTTATTTTTATATCTGATAAGAAAACCATTCAGTGAGATACTTATTTGTGGTGAATGAAATACAGCTACACTTTCAAGCACTTATAAGCACAACATCTGAAATTCAAGCACTTTTCAAACCTTGAAAAGACAACATTAAAATCCAAGCATTTAAGGATTTCAAGCACCCGTACGAACCCTGATAAATAACCCTTAGTGAAAAAAGCACCGCGCCCGTACTCAGAAATCGGCGCCAAATAATTTTATTAAAACACCCTCGGATGTGGTATTGTGAGGTAAAGACTTTTCTTTTCTTTTTTTGTAGAGTCACTTTTCCGACAGGTTTTCTCATTAGCAGAAAACTCTCGACAGACAGAAACTCTAAAAGTCGGTCTTGTTTTACGGACATCAAGGAGGAGTCAACAACCCCTCTAATCATTTCTTAATGCCTCTAGCCAAGCAAAGAATTTCATAAAGGCCCCAACTCCTTGTACGTGCAAAATAACCCCGAGTAAAAAAAAGAAAGAAAAAAAAGCACATATTCAGAACTCTATCCCAAATATTTTTATTAAAACACCTCGATGAGGTATTTTGGGTTTGTGCAGCCACTCCTTCTCAGACCTTCTCAGATCAAAGTAAAGAGTTTTTCTTCATTTTTTTAAGCTACTTTTACAACAGCTTTTCTCAATAGACTGAAAAACAGAAACCCTAAAAGAAAACTGCCTTGTTTTA